TGGTGCAGCCGCTGTGCCAATCCATCTTGAGAGCCTTCCCCGTTTTCACTGCCCATCTATGCTGTTGAACAACAGCTTTCAGGAATTTATATCACGGAAGACTCTAGGTTCTCTGTAGGCACTAAGCACAAATACCTGCATTCGAAAGAAAAGAATGAACTAGACTTCAGTACTTTTTTGCCACTACTTCTAGCCCTACGATGTCCTGAACTGCAGCCTAGAAATCATAACACTGATGGAAACAATGGAATGGGATGGCTATAGCAATGGAAAAGTCTTAGGAACCATGCATTTCTGACTGCTAAGACTAATTTGAGAAGATTCAAATATTAATCACCCATGCCAAATGAGAATAGGACTCCCTGGAGAATGTAGATAATTAAACACTGGGCTACTGATATTCAAACGCACCCAGAGGCACCTCAGAAGGTGGGCCTGGTGATTGGCTTCCAACCGGTCGCACAGCCTTGAAAACCGGTGGAGAAGGTCTACTCAATCAACGCCACTGAGAACAGCAAAGGCAAAGGGACATTTCTTTCTCCTTCAAGTGTCTTTTCTTAAGCATTCCTAGTGAGTCAAGCCCTGGTGGCCTAGAGGCTAGGCGCTGGGCTCCTATCAACAGGGTCAGCAGTTCAAAATCATCAGTTGCCCCAGGGGAGAAAGACAAGGCTTTCCACTCCCATAAAGAGTTACAGTCTGGGAAACCTCAGAGGGAGTTCTACCCTGTCATGTGAGTCAGAAACGCGTCGAAGACTGTGAGTTGAACGAGTATACTACTTGATGATAAGAGAAGGCAGCCCGCAAATATACCTTGTGAACAAGAAAACCAAGAGTGTAGGACACTGCTATGTACATAGGAAGGCCTTGGATGAGATGGATTAACACAGCCGCTGCAACCATGGGCTCAAGCATATGAACAAATGTAGCAGACCCGGCAGTGTTTCGTTCTGTTGTGCACGAGTCAGAACTGACTCCACAGCACCTGGTAGGAACATAGGCACAAACGTGAGAGCATGCAGAGCACTGTAAAAAGAAACACTGGAATTTGAATATAATTCCATCCTAACATTTAAATGGCTGTTAGGTCGCTTTGTGGGAAGACGGTGCAGGACCAGGCAGGGTTTCCTACTGGCATATGCAGTGTTGCTATGAGTTAGAATTGATTTCAGGGTACCTAACAACACAACACGGTCACTTAACCAGAATAGCCTGTGTCTCCATCTATAAAGTAAGGGGTATGATCTTTAATTATAAAGTCCATGAATAATTTACATAATTAAAATTTTAAAGCTCCAAGTTTCAGAATTGTAGCAACATAGGACATAACTGAGCTACAAATAATACCAGAACAGGATATCATTGAAAGGAGTAATGAAGAACAACAAATCCATATATTTAATACAATTAACTGAGGCCTACAGGGTTCAGCAAATTGCTCAAGGTCACAAAACCAGCAGAGACAGGATTAGAATGTACCTTCTTTGTCCCAATGCCTAAGAAGCCCTGGTCGCACAAATGGTTAAGCATGCTAACTGAAAGGTTTTTATAAAATTACATCACCTAGATTAAGAACTGGATAAAGAGGAATGTGATTTAGGAATTCCAACCCTAAGTCTAAATAATACAAAAGTAAATTTATAATATTTGATTGGATGATTTTTTCAAAGGGAATGATCATGTTTAATTTTATGTAATATATTTTAAGGAGGACAAAGGTCACAGTAGAGCATAACCAAAAAACCAGTGTCTTTCGATGAGCACTGTAAGTCATAGGTTATAGTCGAGTAGGACTAAATGCCTTGGGTCTATTTTCATAGAATGAAAATTATGATGGCAACAAATGTACAAATGTGCTTGACACAATGGATGGATGTATGGATTGTGATTAAAACCTGTACGAGCCCCCAATAAAAAGATTTTTTTAATTAAATTTAATTTTAATTTTTTTTTAATTCATAGAATGAAATACTTGTGAGGTGGAAAACTGAAAGGGAGTTGGAATGTTTAAGGTATCCATAAAAATGAAGTGTAGTGGACTCACTTGGATCATTCAAACAAAGGAAAAACACTTATTTTAAGAGGGGAGGATGATTATTTTTCTTTTGTTTGGGGAAGACAGAGCATAGGACAACAGAAAGAAAATGAGAGCTAGGGCTACATTCTTTCACTCCCTATATTGCATACAACCACATTCTTTGAAACCTAGTGCCACAGCTTAACATTTTTAAAGTTGACTGTCAACCAAAAATATCCCCTGAAGTCTTCTTAAAATCAGACAACAGTTTAGCTTAACTGCCTTGAGCATTATGCTCTTTCAAGAATGAATCTATAAGAACAACACCACTCTGCCATCAAGTTAAGTCCAACTCATAGTGAGTCTGTAAAACACAGTAAAGTGGCCACATAGAGGGTTCAACTCATCGTGAGTCTATAGGACACAGTAGAGCGGCCACAGGGAGGGTTCAACTCATAGTGAGTCTGTAGGACACAGTAGAACAGCCACATGGAGGGTTCAACTCATCATGAGTCTGTAGGACACAGTAGAGTGGCCACAGGGA